CTCGGCCTGTTCAGCACTTGTGCGCCTTGCGGGCTTTCTGCACGACATCATCCACAAGCTGCTTCAGGTGAAATGGGTCACGAGCAAGAGGCCCGTCATCCTCTTCGGCATCAATGGCATTGTTGTTGACGGCGAAAAGGGGGTAGTTGCACTCAGCAAGGTGGAAGGTTTCGCGAACGCTGTGAAGGACTTGGTTCACAGCATCGTCCTTATTGAATTTCCTCGGGTCGTTCCCTGCTCGCCGCCAAGCACGTCGCTCCTCGGTGATAGTTTCGTCCATGTGCGTGCGCACAAGGGCAGCAGGCAGGCGGTATTTCGGCAATCGTCGCAAGACGTCGTGGAGACCAGCTGACTCTGTTGATCCAAAGGCGAACACCGTGTAACTGATAAAGCGCAGGCCCATCTGCGCCACGTAGAAAGAGGATGGATGGTCGGGTGTGTCCATCCCCGGCAGGTCCCAGAGAATGAGCTGGTTGAAACGGCGCGGGGTCGGTGCGCGCTTGTCGTTGTGTGTCGTGGGCGGGTCATCCTGGCACACGTGTGCGAAAGTCTCCTTAACACGAGGCAGAAAACCGGGGTCTTCATACGCGACTCCTTGGCCGAGGACAATGAGTACACAGCGAAAGATGCAGGTCAAGGATGTCTTCCCAGAATTGTTGGGGCCAGCCACACCAACGTGGTAGAAGCTGCTGAAGTTCTCGTTGGGGAAGTGCTGCTTGAAGATGACACGCAACGGGTTCATGCAAGCGTCGGTCGGGCAAGCAAGGGGCATGTCGGGGATGCGGGCAACTGTCATGCAACCACGCCTTTGAAGCAGGACCTCCACATCTGTGTCTGTACTTGTATCCGGGCCTGCCTCAGGTTGTACGTCTTGCTCGGTCGGAATGAAATTCTGGCTTGGATCGGCTTCATTCTGCGGAGAATCACGAAACCACCAGTGATAGGCGGCGTAGCCTGCAGAGCCAACGATTCCAACAATCAAACCACCAATCACAAACTCCATGGCTAGAGGAGATAGCTTGTCAGGTCCTCAAGCACAGAAGTGCAGAAGTTGCAGGCACAGAGCAAATGACAAATGGCGACACTTCTCCGAGTTTGACTGCCCTTTCGTCTTGTTGTGTGCGTGGGCATCGCTGGTGTGTCACATAACCAAAACTCATTCGCGACCCACACATGCAGAACGGTTACATACAGCCTTACTCCTGTCCCTGCCTCTGGGGTGGTGCTGTGTCAGTGATGTGACTGTGCCAAAGTCAGTGGACATGACCAATGTGTCATGTCATATTGTGGGATAGGTTGGTACAAAATTGAGGTGAACCGCAACCAACTGCCAGTGTGACTGTGCAATTATTCTCAATGCTCGCGGTAGCACGGTGCTCTTGGCTGGTGGTCTTTGTGGAGGGGAAGTGCGAGCACTGCCTGAGCACATGAGCATTTGTCGCAATCCCCTCCGTTCCACAAGTCTGCCAGTTCGCCCTTACAAGTGCACTTCCTCCATGATCCCCATCGTCGCAGGGACTGGGCTGTGGTGCATGTTTTCCTCGCATGCAAACATGTTGGAGTGGGTAATGAGCACAGGAAGTTCATGCTTTGGTTTTGGTGTCAGCGATGGCACGGACGCGGACGACACACATGGCGACAGCCCCTATTACCTCCACGACTCAGACCAGGCACAGGAGAGAGGCGGCACGCCACCACCCAGGACCGGCTCAAAGAAGAGTGACAACCCGCTTGTATCCATCTTGGAGAAGGCGTTCCCGAACGCCAAGTTCAGCCGGTTGCGTCACATTGCAGTTGTCGGCGCCCCATGTTCGGGCAAAACGACATTGCTGCACGTGCTCCGCGCCGGTGTTGAGAAGCTCAACGGCGACAGCGAGCCTGCAGGCCGCTCCCACCACCACAGAGACAGAGGCAGAGACGGAGCACGAGACCAGCCAGCCCCGTTTCGCGCTGGACACCGCGTGTACTGGGACATGCCCGCCCTGGGGATGACAGAGCAGACTGCGCAGGAATATTTCAGCGCTGTCGGCCTCCATTCAGTGGACCTCATTGTTTTCGCAATTGGAACAACAGAGACAAAGGCCACTCATGACGCCATCGAGGAGGCGCATTTGCAGCAAGTGCCATCCATTGTGGTGCAGACGCACATGGACACCATCGCAGCAAAGGAGCGTGTCGCCTGGAGGCGAAGTGGCAAAGCACTTGGTGCGTTCAATGTCGAAGATGCCAGTCGCCAATACATAGAGTATGTCAAGCAAACCTACAGGCTTGACGAGTTCCAGTTTCAGCTGTTTGGTGTGAACGGCATCGCCAACGTGGAGGAGGAGCATCCTTTACAACGACACCTGTTTCAACGGCAACAACTCGCAGAGTGGGTGGACAAGCGCACACAGCTTCACCTCAAACAAGGCTGGTTTAGCACATTATGGTTTTGGAAGGGCGTCGAATCGAAGCGGTTTGTGTGACAACTTGGACGATGCAGTTCATGGACATCCCTGTCATTGCGTGCACTCGTTGCGTATGGGTCAATGTAGGACGCCCTGCACCTCTTTCCTCCTCTCTTACTTGCTTTCTTTCTTTCTTTGCTTCCTTCTCCAAATAAACCCAACATCATCCATCCACAAATCCACAACCAGAGCAGAACCGTCACGTTCGCTCCCATTGTCACAAACAGGATGATGCGCAGTACGATTCTTTTACTCCTTCCTTCCTCCCACAACCAACAATATGAACAACAACAGCAGCAGCAGCATTTAACACCACAAACCACGCGACGTCTGCATTGCATCGCACCACCTCCCCTTCCCACGCAACCGCGCGCACGAGCTTCAAATGACAAACTGCGACGGCAGAGGGGATCCGTTGTTGACTTCCAGCCGGCGGTGCCTCTCCTCCCTCGCCTTCTCCTGCACGCGCACGTGCCAGTGGGGGATAGCATTATTCAATCCGTGAGACACGCAAGAAAGAAACACCCTTGTCACACAACAACGGGAAACCTTCAAGCCTTGTCACTTTGTCATGCCCGCGTTTCGTACCTTTTCTGCAGCCTTCGTGGCGCCAGCCCACATGTCCCTGCGCCTGTGTGTGTGTGTGTGTGTGTGTGTGTGTGTGTGTGTGTGTGTGTGTGTGTGTGTGTGTGTGTGTGTGTGTGTTGACGAGGACAGAGTTGGTGAGCGCACAGCAACCGCACATTCGGTATCCCATCGCGACCCACATACACCGCCCCCCAAGCAAGGGGTGAAAGGAGCCATCAGGGAGCAAGGCTACTGTGCATGATGCGTTGTTGCTGTTGTTGCTGTTGTTGTTGTTGTTGTTGTTGTTGTTGTTGTTGTTGTTGTTGTTGTTGGTTGTTGGTTGGTTGGTTGTTGGTTGGTTGTTTGTTTGTTTGTTTGTCTGTTTGTTTGTTTGTTTGTTTGTTTGTTTGTTTGTTTGTTTGTTTGTTTGTTTGTTTGTTTGTTTGTCTGTTTGTTTGTTTGTTTGTTGTTGTTGTTATTTGTTGGCTGATGTTGTTGCTGCTGTTTTCTTCCTTACCCTGTGCGGGGAACGCCGTGTTTGTCCAGAAGGTCGTCCAGTCGCTCGCGTCGGCTCAGCAGCGCGTGGTGGCCGCTCTGCAATGCAACACAAGGAGCAAGACATTGATACTCAGTGACATGGAAATGAAACGAACACCAGACACCACACGAGCAGCACCTGCCTGCCACGGCCGCACCTGTCGCTTCTCTGGCGTTGCATTCCTTGACACGGGGCCGCTAATCATGGATGTCTGCGCAGATGGACGGCGCGACGAGCGACGGCTCTGACATGCGTATGTGTATGTGTATGTGTATGTGCGTGTGTGTGAGCATGCGATTGGCAATCGCAGCAACCAACAACACCAGAAGCAAGGAAGCACAGAAGCAAGAAAGCAAGGAAGCACAGAAGCAAGGAAGCACAGAGGCAAGGTACAAAGCTTGCTCTATCCATCAGCTCCTTCGTCACGACTCACGTCATACCACGACGAGGACAGGTCACGCGCCGAGCGCAGCACCGCCAGCTCATCGTTCTGCACACAACAAACAAGAACACACATACACACGAACGTGATGAATGAGTCAAAACGAAAGCAAAGGAAGCAAATGAGAACGAGGACCAGGCGAAGAGCAAGCAGGCCAAACGCTTGCCGTACACAACCACATATCACACCACACAACAACACACAACACACAACACACCTTCAAGCTCAGCTCGTGGGACAGGTACATGATTTCGGAATCGCGCTGGTCCAGCAGTTCCTGCCGTCCATTTAGTAGCATCAACATAATCAGAGACAGAACCATGAATGTGAGAGATGAACAGCATTTCAATTCCATTCCTTTTGTACTGCGCTCGTTGTTGTTGTTGTTGTTGTTGTTGTTGTTGTTGTTGTTGTTGTTGTCAGTGGCTTGCGTTCCTTGTCGAGTTTTTCTCGCACCTGCAGCTCAGCCGTGAGGGCCTTCTCGGCCTGCAGCGCCTGCATCACCTGCGATGGCTCCACCTGTGCTCTTAAGGCCTCGTTCTCGCGTCTCAGCGCCTGTGGAAGGACAGAGGAAGAAGGCAAGCAAGGCGTAAGCTGATGAACAAAGATCGTGCCTGGCGTATGATCTGCGTCAGCCAAAGAGCCGAGAGGCACAGACACACAGACACAGGGACACACAGACACACGGACACAGGTACACACGGACACACACACACACACACACACACACACACACACACACACACCACAGCACAGCTCACTCACGATAATCTCTGCCTGGAGACGGGCGCGGGACATGAGCAGAAGCGTGGCGGTTTCCTTCTCCAGCTGCTTGTTGGCGCGCTTGGACTCGAGCGCGTGCGCCCACGCCATGCTCAGCCGCTGTGTCACATCCGCAATCTGCCCAAGCACACACACACACACACACACACACACACACACACACACACAACAGACAACATGCGAGACACAATACTGCAATGAGCACAAGAACCTGCATCGTGGTTGCTCGTCTGTCCCCCTCCCGCGCGTGAAATACATGCGTCTGGAAGCGTCGCCGACGGGTAGCACACCAACAAGGACATTTCCAATATCGATGCATTGCTCCCTCCTCACCTTCTGCGGCGTGACTTTGTGTTTTGGACGTCGGGGCGAGTGCTGTGTGTCACTGAAAGCGCCGTCGCCTTCGTGTGAGTCCGAGTCTGAGGACCGCGCTTGCTCCTGCACGTGGCCACACACGCATGAGCGAACGTGACATTAATAAAATGGTAACGTGCACAGACATGGGCTCCAAAACACATATGATCTGTCCGGCAGTGCGTGCAAGCAAGCAAGCAACCGCTGTTGTGTGTTGATACGGCACAACCTCGTGCTGACGCTGGTGATCTTTTGGCGGCAGCAGGTTCATGACCTCCTGCACGTTTTCCTTGATTGTTTCATCTTTCTGTGAAGCGTGGAGCACGGCAATTTCGTGTAAGTGTGTGTGTGTGTGTGTGTGTGTGCGTGTGTGTGTGAATGTGTGAATGTGTGGGGTGAAGAGAAGGGACGGCTTGGGCGTTGGGCCAGCATGGCGCTGGCGAGCATTTCATGAACTTCATTCGCGCGAGCAAGCAAGCAAGCGAGCAGCATGGGGAGGTGGCTATTTCAAGCTGGTTCAACAACACATGTTGGTCTCTTCTCGTGTTTGATCGCCACGAACTTCGATGGCAACAGCGGTGAGCGACGGGTCCGCAAACGGCTGGTGTTTCTGGTGCAGCTTTGTCAGCAGTCGGTTCACTGCATCCTTCTGCGTTGCGGACAGGTCCTCCACTCGGTACTGCACGCGAGAGAGGAGGGCACAAGAAGCCACAAACAGTTACTTTGCAGTCAAGCAATTGGGCGAGTAATCGGGCGAGCAAGCAAGCACGCGAGCAAGCAACTGCTATCCTTTGGTCTTTGCTCAGTCAACACCACAAGGACGTCCGTTTTGCCACCACACACACACACACCTTGTGGGAGACGATGCCGAGGGATTGCAGCCAGCGCAGGCCCTCGTCTGTGCTGAGGGTGATGTCGGTGGCGTCCCACTCAAAGGTGTCCAACTGGGCCCAATCGCCCATGTGCTGCAGCTCGTCCAAGTCCACCCGTTGCCGCAGGTGAGGGGACGAGCTCGAGCTGCAAGCGTCATACAAGTCATCAAAAAACAACAACAACAACAACAACAACAACAACAACAACAACAACAACAACAACAACAACAACAACAACAACAACAACAACAACAACCAGACAAACGACGAAACAAACGGCAGGCGTGAGGTTGCTTGGTTGGGCTCTTCACAAACCAGCAGCAATCGACAGTGGCAAGAGCCACGAGGCACAAGCAAATGGCAAGAGGCACTCGAGACAGGCGATGCAAGTCACGTCATGCGTCACGTGTCACCTGCTTGACGCGTAGATTTCCTGCGTAGCGGAGTCCACGGTGACCCGACCATCGCGCACCGCATGCATCAGCTCCACTCGCCTCTCCTGCACGCGTGCATCAGCAGTGAGCCGGTGATGCAGTCTCATCAGCAAACACCGTTGCATGCAAGCAAGCAAGTGAAGCAAGTGAAGCAAGTGGAGCAATGCATCGTTCAGCAGAGCAGAACCCAAACAAACCTCTGACAAGCGGCGAATGGCGTCCCTGTCTGATGACCGTTGCGTGGCGGCGGTCGCCGTGCTGCTGCTCGTACTGTGCTTCGGCATGGCCTGTGTGCTTGTGTGCTTGCGTGCTTGTGTGATGTGTGTCTGGCTTGTGCTTATGTGTGCGTGTGTGTGCTTGTGTGCTTGTGTGTGCGCGCTATACTCCCTCGTTCTTTGATTTCCAGCCAGCTCCAGCAACAATGCCACCACAACAAGCAAGAAGCAGGCGACGCGATGATGCTGATCTCCCTTCCGGTTTGCCTGCAAGCAAGGAAGCAAAAAATACCGGCTGCCAACCGGCGCCAGCAGGCCTTCAACCAATGTCACGGTCCACAACAGAATAAAGCGTAGCAGAAAGCGTTTCACGTGGTTGCAGGCGTGAGCCGAGTTTTGGTGCAAGCCTTACACAAATGGCCAACAACCACGCAGAAGAAGAAGAAGAAGTGGATTGCGTTCAACTCAAGCTGTGTGCCTTTTTTCCTTCTCTTCTTCCACCCACGCTGCCCGCGCACACACCGCACACACACCCGCCCGCCTGCGCGTTCATCATCGACCACCTGCGTTCTCGCTTTCAAGCACAGCACTCGCACAACACCACGACGACACAATGGCGGCCATGGATGAGGAAGTGAGCACAATGCGCGAGCCATGGTACGTCTTCCGGTTTTCTGCTGCGTGAGAGAGGTGAATGAAGGTTGAATGAATGTGGTGTACGTGTTGTGGACGTGTGTGTGTCTGCATGTGTGCATCCACGTCATGCTCGGACACACACACCTGCACAAGTCCACGCGTACACATGAACACACCATACACACATTGCACACACAAGTACACACGTACACACGTACACACGTACGCAAAAGTGCACCATGCCTCCTGCTCCCTTCCCTCCCTCCCTCACACGCACACACACACACACACGCATACACGATAGCCCCTGGCGTATTCTTGATGATTGCGGTGGCGCTTTTGCCATGGGTTGCATTGGTGGCTCCGTCTGGCATGGCGTCAAGGGCTACAGATCAGCACCCATGGTACGTTCAACTGCGTGTGTGCATGTGTGTATGTGTGCGTGCGAGAAGCACGCCGTACCCTTTTCTGGACACGCAAAGTTGGATTTGTGTGCCTCTTCTCTTCAACCTAACACACCACACGACATGACGCGACACGTCATCACACGACACAGGGCCTGAAGTACAGGGAGTGCATCAACGCCATCAAGCTGCGTGCACCAACCGTTGGTGGTACGTGGTCGCATGCAGGCCTGATTGCGAACAAATGCTTCGCACACACACTGTTGCACCACACCCATTGTGCACACATCTGCACACACACACACACATCCGCATACACCCACGCACCCACACACGCCGTTCACACACACACGCCGTTCATACACTCACTCTTTCGCCTGCTGTTTGGTTTGTCACCCTTGGGACAGGCAACTTTGGTATTTGGGGCGCCATGTTCTCGTCGTTTGATTGCTCGTTTGCCGCGCTTCGTGGAAAGGATGATCCGTGGAACGCCATTGCCTCTGGCTTCGTCACCAGCGGTGTTCTTGCCGCCCGCTTTGGTGCCTCGACTGCGCTCAAGTCTGCTGTCGGCGGCGTAAGTTTCGACACGGATTGTGTCAGTGGACGCGTGTGTGGTGGATGTGGGTGTGGGTGGGTGCTCGAGCCCGTGTTTTTGCACGTGTGCGTGTCTCGTGTGCGCTCACATTACTACACGAACGCACACACACACATACACACACACACACACACACACACACACTGGCACTTCCTGTGCTCTTGTCGCCCCCTCCCCCAACTCACCGGTGTCGCAATTGTGTTTGCATGTGTGCAGGGTGTTATTCTTGCGTGTATTGAGGGCCTGACGGTGGCCATCAACAACTGGCAGACACAGCAGATGAAGCCGCAAAGACCGCAGATCATGGATGACCCGCTTGGTCCCGCGCCAGCACGGAGTTAATTGACACACACACGTATATCTCACCGCCGGGTGATGTTGGATCCTGCAGACAGGCAACGACGGTGTGGCACTGTCGTTGTTTCGGTTGGACTGTCCAAGTTGGATGCTAGTCTGTGTGTGTGTGTCAGTGGGGGTCACTTTGTGTTTTGTGTGTGTTGTTGTCTTGTCATCATCATTGTCGTGTACATTTCCTCTTGGCGTTTACTTGTTGAGCTTGTTTGAGTGCACGAAGCCACAGCACGACACAGCCTTACTATTGTCGTGTGCGTAGCTGTGTGTGTGTGTGTGTGTGTGTGTGTGTGTGTGTGTGTGTGTGTGTGTGTGTAGCTGTGCGCATCACTTTTTTGTCCGTCCCCCTCCCCCCTTTCCTCAAAGTGTGTTTCTTCCTTACCCCTCTAATTGGTTCGTAGCCTATGCCTGCTTGTCATTGTCGTGGGTGTTGTTATGTTTGCACCCCCCCCCTTTTCTTGTTGTTGTGTGCAGATGCTGAAGGATGTGCCTCGCGCGTCCCTCCATTGTCTGTTTGTCTGTTTGTCTGTTTGTCTGTTTATTCGTCGTCGTTATTTGTTGTTATTTGTTGTCGTCGTTGGCTCTTCGTCTTCCATCTTCCGTCTTCCGTCTTTGTCTTTGTCTTCTTCTTCGTCAAACCACCAACAATCAACTAGCTTCTGTTCCTACAACACCCAAGCAAGATGAGGGTAGAGGGGGAGTGAGGGGTGCGAGAAGCAGAGCAAAGCAAGCGACGCAAACAAACAAACCAAACCAAGTACGCAACGCACACATCAAGCACAACAAAAAAGGACAAGCGACGCGCATTCCCTTGGGCATTGTAGAAAAGTTGGTGATGATATGCACCATTATCGTCAGTGAGAGGACACTTGGTGCAACCTGCACGCACTCGCTTGTTTCTGTGACACCTTCACTTGTTGCTTGCTTTGCTTGTTGTGGCGCTCGCTCCTCTGACCGTTCGTTGATTGCAACGGCCAAGAAGCTCGCTGGGTGAATAACATAACCCCTTCTTGGTACACATACACACACAACACAGAGCAGCAATAAGCTCGCGCAGAAGCGACAAGCAGCAGCCATCACCACGCAGGGACTGCTTTGTTCCTCTGAGCGCAATTGCACACAAACAACAACACACAACACACAACAGCAGCAACGGCAGCGGCGGCGGCTATGGCAGGGATGACCACGATGATGTCTGTGCGCACAGAAGTGGATATTCAGGCAGACACCTTTGCAAACTGGTGTACGTACATCATCCACGACCGCCAGCCACCGCCATACGACTTCTCAATCAGGTTTGTCCCGAGACCACATGACTCACCCATTTGCACACACATATGCGACACGTTCTGTGTGTGTGTGTGTGTGTGTGTGTGTGTGTGTGTGTGTGTGTGTGCGTGCGTGTGCGTGCGTGTGTGCGTGCGTGTGTGCGTGCGTGTGTGTGTGTGTGTGTCACCGTCTCTGTCTGGGTCCTCACACATGTGCATGCGAGCGTGTTTGACTGCGTGTTTGACCGGGGTGTGGTAGTGACCTCAAGTTTGACTTGAGGGATGGCGTGCTCTTGTCGGAGCTGTTGCGAAAGCTCCTTGGGTCTGATGATGCAGCGCCCCCCTTTGGCCAGCCTGCCACGCCACAGGTCAGTCGATGCGCGCGCGTGCGTGTGTTTATGTCCGTAGGATGGCGTGGTTGCTTGAATCGTGCTTGCAAACTCAAGTGTGCAAGGAAAGGCAAACACGCACACCAACACACACACACACACACACACACACACACACACACACACACACACACACACATAACACACACACACACACACACACACACACACACACACTA